AAAAAAAAAAAAAAAAAAAAAAGAGGCCATCACAGCCCCAAAGCCAGGTGTGCCAGCTGTGTGGACAGGCCAGAGCTGGGCAGGTCCAGCTGGGCTTCCCCAAGGAGTGAGTGGTGGGGGAGAGGCGTGCCAGGCCAGGACGCAGCGGGAGGGGCTGGCCGCATTCACTGGGGCGGTCGTGGGACCAGCCCCTCTAAGCGTATTATTTCCTTTGCTGCCAAGTCACAAAACCGGGAGGATGCAGGGCCACCACAGAGGGCGCCCGTCGACGGAGTGTGCCCCTCGCCTCGAAGAACTACAGGAACAGGCCCCGGCTCTGTCCTCAGCTTCACTTTGAGCACCCGGTGACTTGGGGAAGGACCCGTGGTCATGCTCAGAATCAGAAGCAGAGACGATCTCAGTCCACTGGAGCCAAGGGCTGATTTAAACAAGGTAAAGCATAAGATAGATAAATACTAAGTCCTGTCCAAGTTTATGTTTTTTCTGAAAAGATTTAAAAATCACTCGGCTCTCCAAAGGTTGAGTGTGACATCTATTGGGATACGTAGTAACTTTAAAAAAAAAAAAAAAGTATAGTGGCCAGAATCAGGGAGGTGACTGTTTACTCTTTGGTATTCAGATAGCACCCATGGTGCTGTGCTCACTTCTAGATGCCACAGTCTAAGGGGGAACTTGGCACATTAAAGCCTATCAGGAAGACAGAGAAGCCAGGCTCGGTGGCTCAGCCTGCAATCCCGCGCCTTTGGGAGGCTGAGGTGAGTGGACTGCCTGAGCCCGCGGGTTCGAGACCCGCCTGGGCAGTGAGACCTCATCTCTACAATAAATCAAAAAATCAAGCTGGGCTCAGTGGCTCAGCCTGTAATCCCGCGCCTTTGGGAGGCTGAGGTGAGTGGATTGCCTGAGCCCGCAGGTTCAAGACCCACTTGGGCAGCGAGACCTCATCTCTACAATAAATCAAAAAATCAGCCGGGCATGGTAGCGCATGCCTGTAATTCCGGCTACTTGGAAGGCTGAGGCAGAAGGATCACTGGAGCCCACCAGGCGAGACTGCAGTGACCGGGAGCGGCCACTGCACTCTAGTCTGGGCGATTGAGTGTTTTTTGACCAACTCAAAAAACAAAAAAAAAAGAAAACAGAGAAAAAGACGTGCCATCACTCCCAGGGAATGGCTTAAGACCCTAGGGGGCGAGGGTTCCAGAGAAGAGTACATTGGGTACATGGTCACTGACGTATAGAGGCAGAGGGCAGAGCAGAAAGCAGAGGAGAAGAGAGAGGGCAAATAACTTTCCTTCAGATACTGCAAGTATATACGTGCTACTTTCACGGTAGTGAACTCCCTGTCATCAGCAGCATGCAAATAGTCTTTTGGGGATCTTGGAAAAGTGGTCCGTGACCAAGACAGAGGTGGACAAGATGACCTCTGAGATCCTTTCCAGTACGAAGATTCAGTGCTTCTGCACACCTGTCTCTTCCAGTAAGCCTTCCCTGGTTGCCCCAGCCTTCCTCTCACTCCAGCAGTCTTTAGTGGCCCAGTTATCATTTGGGTCCTGCTTCGCCCCTGCTTCATATATCCCCCCAGAACTCCAGGGGATCTGAGCCATTGACTCCCGTGCAGTCTTGGGGTTCTCACCTAGCAGACAGCAGCCTCATGGGAAAAACCAGGCTGCAGGCTCAGGCGGGCAGGGGCAGACATCTCAGCTCTGCCACACCCTCCTAGGTGACTTTGGACAAGCCCTTTTGCGTGCTTAGGCCTCAGTTTCTGCGAAATGGGAGTAACAGCACCAAGGATGGCGAGGAAGGGGAGGGGCGAGGCGACAGGTGCCCGGCCTGCACAGACGCTCTCCAGAATGGCCATAACAGGAGACTGAATGTTTTCCGCCACGCGGAAAACGTGGCTTCCCCTGCTGGGGGCAGAGGCCAGCCAAGGGGAAGCCCTGTTCAGGGCCTCAGAGTGACAATCCGCCTGCCTGGCTCTCACAACTTAACAATGGAGGAAACAGGGGCCAGCGCGAAATAACACCTGCGTAGCAAAGTCTTCCAATCCTGGGGGAGGATGTATAATGGTCACCTGAGGGTCTCTGGTGGGGAAGAGGCTGGACCCTTGATCTGGGAGGGGGCCCTGCTGGCTCTTTGAGCACAGAGGGCGACCAGCTGCTTCATCTACCCCCAACCACTCTCACCCACTGGGCGGTCACCTCGGCAGACCATCCCCACAGCCTGGATGATTGGGGGCGGGGCTACAACAAGGGCCAACAGGTCCATCAAGGAAGCACGCCCTCAGTCCTTCTTGGGAGAAGAGAGCTTGCAGGACAGGTGATCCGTGACCCAGACAGGACTGGACACGATGGTCTTGGAGATCCCTTCCCACATCCAGACTCAGAGCTTCTATATTCCTGCCTCTTCCAAGAAGCCTTCCCTGATTGTCTTAGCCTCTTCTTTACCTACCAGCTCAAAGGATGTACTGTCTTTTTTTTTTTTTTTTTTTTTTTGAGTTGGAGTCTCACTCAGTCGCCCAGACTGGAAAGCAGTGGCCGCTCCCGGCCACCGCAGCCTCGACCTGCTGGGCTCCGGCGATCCTTCCACCTCAGCCTTCCGAGTAGCCGGAATTACAGGCATGCGCTATCACACCCGGCTGATTTTTTGACTTATTATAGAGATGAAGTCTCACCGCCCAGGCGGGTCTCGAACCCGCGAGCTCAGGCAATCCACTCACCTCAGCCTCCCAAAGGCGCGGGATTACAGGCTGAGCCACCGCTCCCGGCTTGTAGCGTCTTTAATAATGCCATTTCCTGGGTTATATCACGGGCCAGACCCTGGACAAGAACCCTTAGAAAGAGCATCTCACCTAACCCTCAACGACCTGCTAAACAACGACCATCTTCCCAGATTTACAGGCCCCGAGGCTCAGAGAGGTTGACACACTTCTCCTACGTCCCCGTGGGTGAGCTTGGGCTGGAACGCAGAACTCACCGCCTGTCCTGGCTCCTCTCAGCCCGTCTTCCCGATCACTCCTCAGCCCTCGTCCCATGCACCTGACCAAGAAGCTAGGGCTGGACGCCACAGCCATCGCCTGCCCACGCATGCCCCTGTGGCAGGGGGGCTTCATCCTCTTCGGTCTTGACAAGCCAGAGACCCCGGTGGTGCAGGGACACACTGCAGTCCAGGCGAGGGCCGGTGCCACACCCGGGGGACATCCCGGCCGCGCCGCCGAGGAGTCGCCACCTCTCCTGGGCCGTACCCACCTTGGAGCTGGGCGTCTTGGCGAAGCTGAGGGCCTCGGTGGTGAGGGAGAAGTAGAGCTTCTTGAAGGAGGAGGACGTGAGGGGGCCCTTGCCTTTGGTCCTGTGGATGAAGAGCGGCCCCTCCTTCACGGGAGGCGCCTGCAAGCTCAGCGTCCGCTGCAGGTCCAGCTCTGCCAGGCCAGGGAGGGAGGCGAAATGAGGCTCCCGCGAGCGGGACGGAGCAAACGACAACGGCGGGCGATGGGCGTGGCCGTGGAAGGCATTGGGGGGATGGGGCTCCAGGGCAAAGCAATAGCCAACAGCGGGCTGCGGGCGGGGCCGCGCGAGACACAGGGGCTTGTGGGCGGGGCCGTGGGGCTCAAGGGCGGAGCAAACGCTAACAGGAGGCTGTGGGCGGGGCCGCGGGAGGCACAGGGGCTGTGGGCGGGGCCGTGGGGCTCAAGGGCGGAGCAAACGCTAACAGGAAGCCGTGGGCGGGGCCGCGGGAGGCACATGCGCTGTGGGCGGGGCCTTGGGGCTCAAAGGCGGAGCAAACGCTCACAGGAGGCTGTGGGCGGGGCCCCGGGGCTCAAGGGAGGAGCAAAAGCCAATAGCAGGCTGTGGGCGGGGCCATGAGAGACACAAGGGCCTGTGGGCGGGGCCGTGGGTCTCAAGGGTGGAACAAACGCTAACAGGAGGCTGTGGGCGGGACCACAGGAGGCACAGGGGGCTGTGGGCGGGGCCGTGGGGCTCAAGGGTAGAGCAAAAGTCAACAGCAGGCAGTGTGCGGGGCCACAAGAGACACAGCGGGCTGTGGGCGGGGCCACGGGGCTCAAGGGCGGAGCAAAAGCCAATAGCAGGCTGCGGGCGGGGCCACGAGACACAGGGGGCTGTGGGCGGGGCCGTGGGGCTCAAGGGCGGAGCACACGCCAACAGGAGTCTTCGACAGGCCGCGTGGAAAGCGCTCACCCTCCTTCTCTTCGATGTCCACGAGCTTGGTGATGAAGTCCTTCAGCTGTGCCACGCCCTGGCGCACGGTGGGCTGCAGCGGCTCCATCCATACCTCCTTGGCCCTGGAAGCCGGGGTGTCCATGTTGCCTACATTCTGGACCGCCTGGGGGGTGACAGCAGGAAGGATCTGGCTCTGCTGGGTCTGCGGGCCTAGCCACTGCACCCTCGAACCCCCCGTGAGTCTGCGCTACTCAGCTGTAGAGACAGAGGCAGAGGCCCTGCCCACGGGCCCACCTCAGCCCCACGGGGATCAGGGATGAACGGACCATGCGTTTGAGGCCTGATACTGAGACCACTTGGGCCTTCCTCTGTGGGTTTAACATTAGACTCTTAAGCACCGGACGCCCCATCCCAGTGCCAGGTTGGAAGGCCCCGATTCCCCACCAACAGGCCGTGCGGTCTTGGGCAACCGCGGCCTCGATCTGTGGGCGGTTCTGTTCCCTCCTCCGTGAGACGGAGCTCGGATGAAGTGACCCCGAGAAAGCTTTGCGAACTGCCATGTGCAGTGCCCGCGTGTCTCAGTGGCCTCTCCGCAACGCCTCCGGAGCGCGTCGGGGACACACTGCAGTCCAGTCAAAGGCCCCGGTCCCAGACCCCGTGGACACCCCGGCCCAGCTGGGAGACCCGCACCTTGGCCAGCAAGAGCAGGGTGCGACTGGTGCGGGCGTCCGCGTGCCGCTCCCGCAGGTGGAAGAGCTTGGGCGACATGATGGCGGGAGAGACGAAGCGCAGGCACAGGAAGCTGGTGACGGCGACGAACGGCACGTTCTGGAGGGATGCGGGGGAGCCGGGGCTGGGTTCCAGTCCCCCACCCTTGCCCAGTCCCCACCCTTGCCGTGATGCCAACTCCTCTCCGCACCTCCCCGCCCCCGCCCCCCGTCCCTTTCCCCACCATGCCCCGCCCCCGCCCGCCGGCAGGGGGCGCACCTCGTGCTGGGCGCTGGGGAAGCGCTCCCGCACGCGCCGGAAGAGCTGGCGGAAGGTGGCGCGCACCACGGCGGGGCACGCGCGAACCGAGCGGCTGAGCGCGCTCAG